CCAATGCCACTACTACTGTTACTGCAGGTACTGTCGTTCCCACCAGCACGGACACGTCTTGGCTTTCCTATTTCGATTCGACAACTGGATTCTCATCTGAATCTCAAGGGGAATGCTCCCATATATGCTTCTACACATGCTGGAAGCATATCTGGAAACGAGACACTGCTATCAACAAGCAAAAAATGTGGCCCGGGTATGGCGGGCCACGAAGAACACGAACGAGCCACCTCTGCGGATGGCGGCGGGGGGGGCGCCGCCGCCGCCGCCGTCGCCGCCGCCACCGCCGTCGTCGACGTCACCTTTTTTGTCGCTGCCTTTTCGTCGAGATGCTGTTCGACCCAGAGATGCTCCTACACATGGCTGTTAGGTTGCTTTGCCGGGATAATGAATAACAGCCCGAGCGAAACCCCAGTTCCCAGGAGTCCTGTGTGTAATGAAAAATACGCGGAAAGGGCCAGAAATCTTCCAGACGTCATCAGGGGAGAGATGAGAGTAGTACTCATGCTGTCTAATTGCGGAGGAGCTGGATAGGGAGGAGGAAGAGGAAGAGGGGGAGGAGGAGGAAGAAGAAGAAGAGGAGGAAGGGGAGGAGAAGGAGGAGGAGGAGGAGGAGGAAGAGGAGGAGAAGGAGGAGGAGGACGACGACGAAGAAAAAGAAGAGGAGGAGGAGAAGGAGGAGGAGGAGGAGGATCAGGAACGCCCAGTTCAGTGAGCGATCCTGCTGTCAACGGGAGGTGGACTTTCTCTCCACACACACACACATTTCGCATACCCTATTTTTCCCTTATTTGTCATTGCGCGTCAGCCTGGTGCTCACCTGGCCCCATGAGCGCGGCAGCCAGCAGTGCAGGAGATGGCGCTGCGGCAGCAGGTGGTCGACGTGATGGAGGGTCCAGATTGCGCTCGCCGGTGCGGTCTCTTTCTCAGGTTGACGGTGCTGAATTGCGTACAGGCGTTGACAATTCCAAGAAAGAGATCATGGCCCGCATCGACGCCACTCTCAGCATTGGGTTTGCAGGTCGCCACCAGTTTCGACGGCCTCGACAAAGATTTGCGCTCCCGATTCGCAACCTTCGAGACGAGAGTGGACAACGCGGAGAGTAGCATCGATGGCCTCAAGCTCGAGTTCCAGGCCCTCAGGACGGAGTTGGCGACCATCAAAAACACAACGGTCCCCGAGGCGGCTGCGGCGGCAGCCAACGGGGACGTCAAGAGGGAAATCGATCCGACAATCCTTGTCGTTCGATGCCCCCCACACATGGCTAGTCGTGGGCGAGCGCATGCCGCAGGGCAAGCTACCGCCGCACAGCCAACGCACTGCTTCGCTTCCCACAACCACCATCGCGCATTTCCGTCTAGCCTTGCAGCCTCTGCCAGCCGCAGCGGACTCACCGCAGCCTGCACCATCAGGCTGGTTTGCTGCCCCTGCCAGCCGCCTTGCCCCTGTGGTTTCTTCAGCACGCCTTCTACACCACACGCCGAGTGAGGGTGCCGCGGAGAGCCGCCACGGCGTTGGCCACGCGGCCCAATCCAGCAGCGCAGACGGACGGCTGCTCGTTTGTTCTCCGCACAACGGCGCTTCTACATTCCGCCTCCTCCGCCAGTTCTGGTAAGAAGTGCGCCTCAGACGAGGGGTGCTCTGGGCGTTTTCCAGGGTGTTGGCCCGAGGTGGCCAGTTGACCCGAAGGAGAGAGGATTCGGCACAACCGCAATAAGACTTGGCCCGTGGGGGCTCCGCCCACTTTTTCCCAACCGTCCTTGTGTTGGGTACTCGTTTTGAATAAAACACTGGTATCCACCTCCCGCCCTCTCCTCCTTCTTCTCTCCTGTGTTCGCGGTGCCCTGCGGGGCTGCGATCTGCGCAACTGTCGCCACTTTCGTGGGTTCCTGGGAGGCCCAGCGGAGGTGCGTCCTACGCAGACCACTTTGAGGCCTCCCTGTCCCCTGCGGGGCTGTGATCTGCGCAACTGTCGCCACTTTCGTGGGTTCCTGGGAGGCCCAGCGGAGGTACGTCCTACGCACACCACTTTGAGGCCTCCCTGTCCCTTGCGGGGCTGCGATCTGCGCAACTGTCGCCACTTTCGCGGGTTCTTGGGAGGCCCAGCGGAGGTGCGTCCCACGCAGACCACTTTGAGGCCTCCCTGTCCTCTGCGGGGCTGCGATCTGCGCAACTGTCGCCACTTTCGTGGGTTCCTGGGAGGCCCAGCGGAGGTACGTCCTACGCAAACCACTTTGAGGCCTCCCTGTCCCCTGCGGGGCTGTGATCTGCGCAACTGTCGCCAGTTTCGTGGGTTCCTGGGAGGCCCAGCGGGGGTACGTCCTACGCAGACCACTTTGAGGCTTCCCTGTGCTCCTGCGGGGCTGCGATCTGCGCAACTGTCGCCACGTTCGTGGGTTCCTGGGAGGCCCAGCGGAGGTACGTCTTACGCAGACCACATTGAGGCCTCCCTGTCCCCTTGGCGCACCTGGCGCGCACCTGGCGCGCACCTGGCGCGCTGGGCGCACCTGACGCACCTGACGCGCTGGGCGCACCTGGCGCGCACCTGGCGCACCTGACGCACCTGGCGCACCTGCACCTGGCGCGCCTGGCGCTGGCGCGCACCTGGCGCGCACCTGGCGCGCACCTGGTGGCGCGCACCTGGTGCACCTGGCGCGCTGGGTTCACCTAGCGCACCTGACGCGCTGGGCGCACCTGGCGCGCACCTGGCGCACCTGGCGCGCTGGGCGCACCTGGCGCGCACCTGCCGCACCTGGCGCGCACCTGGCGCGCCTGGTGCAACTGGCGCACTGGCGCACCTGGCGCGCACCTGGCGCACACCTGGCGCACACCTGGCACACCTGGTGCTTCTGGCGCACCTGGCGCACCTGGCGCGCTGGGCGCACCTGGCGCACCTGCCACACCTAGCGCAGACCTGGCGCACCTGGCGCGCCTGTCGCACCTGGCGCACCTGGCGCACCTGGCGCACCTGTCGCACCTGGCGCACATGGCGCACCTGGCTCACTTGGCGCGCCTGGCGCAACTGGCGCACCTGGCACACCTGGCGCAACTGGCGCACCTGGCGCACACCTGGCGCGCACCTGGCGCACACCTGGCGCCCCCCTGGCGCAACTGGCGCACCTGGCGCGCGCCTGGCGCGCACCTGGCGCGCAGCTGGCGCACCTGGCGCACCTGGCATGGCGCGCTGGGCGCACCTGGCGCACCTGGCACACCTGGCGCACCTGGCGCACCCGGCGCGCTGGCGCGAATGGCGCAACTGGCGCGCCTGGCGCAACTGGCGCACCTGGCGCACCTGGCGCGCCTGGCGCGCACCTGGCGCACACCTGGCGCACCTGGCGCACCTTGCGCATCTGGCGCACCTGGCGCACCTGGCACACCTGGCGCACCTGGCGCACCTGGCGCACCTGGCGCGCTAGGCGCACCTGGCGCACACCTGGCGCACACCTGGCGCACACCTGGCGCACACCTGGCGCGCACCTGGCTCACTTGGCGCGCCTGGCGCACCTGGCGCACCTGGCGCGCCTGGCGCGCCTGGCGCACCTGGCGCTCCTGGCGCACCTGGCGCGCCTGGCGCCACTGGCGCACCTGGCGCACCTGGCGCGCCTGGCGCGCCTGGCGCACCTGGCGTACCTGGCGCAGCTGGCGCACCTGGCACACCTGGCGCGCTGGGCGCACCTGGCGCACCTGGCACACTGGGCGCACACCTGGCGCACACCTGGCGCACACTTGGCGCACATGGCGCGCCTGGCGCACTTGGCGCGCCTGGCGCACCTGGCGCACCTGGCGGACGTGGCGCACGTGGCGCACCTGGCGCACCTGGCGCACCTGGCGCGCCTGGCGCCACTGGCGCATTTGGCGCACCTGGCGCGCATGGCGCGCTTGGCTCACCTGGCGCGCATGGGTTTTTGGGAGGCTCAGCGGAGGTACGTCCTACGCAGACCACCACTAGACCATGGCGCCGAAATGTCCTGCGGTATTGAGTGGTCCTCAGTGCAATTGCCACTTGTGTAGAAAGGGTTGGGTACGTCGCAGGATAATCTCTATAAACGCGTACCTGCAGCGTACATTCAGCGTACCTACAGCGCACCTACAATACTGTTGTCTTACTGTTTTCTTTCATTCCTGTATAAGCGCGCACCTGCAGCGTACCTACAGCATGCGTTCAAGGTGTGGGTCCAGCGTGCCTAGCGTACCTACAGCGTACCTTCAGCGTACCTAGAGTAGTGTTGTCTTAGTGCTCCCTTCATTACCGCGTACCTACAGCGTACCTACAGCGCACCTTCAAGGTGTGAATAAAGCGTACTTTCAGCGTACCTACAGCGTACCCACAGCGTACCTACAATAATGTGTTCTTGTTGTTGTCCTTGTATAAGCGCGTACCTACAGCGCACCTACAGCGTACCTTCAAGGTGTGAGCAAAGCGTACTTTCAGCATACCTTCAGCGTACTTTCAGCTTGCCTTCAGCGTGCCTTCAAGGTGAGAGGGGAGGAGGAGGAGGTGGAGGGGGAGGGGGAGGAGGAGGAGGAGGAGGAGGAGGAGGAGGAGGAGGAGGAGGAGGAGCAGGAGGAGGAGGAGTCAATGCCCGCCTCCATCAACCTAGAAAACTTATGAAAAAATAGCCTGACGAAGGACCCAACCATAAGCAGTTGCGGCGACCGCATTCTGGGTCCATCGCTCTATGAGGCCCTCGGTGGAGCTCCCTATGAGGCCACGACCCGTGTGAGGGGTGTGCCGAAATGGGGCGGGGCCGCCATGCGAACCCTGCCACTGGCGCCTTCTGTGGAGCTCCCTATGAGGCTATGAGGCCACGAACCGTGTGAGGGGTGTGCCAAAATGGGGCGGGGTCGCCATACGAACCCTACCACTGGCGCCCTCGGTGGGGCTCCCCTAGGGGGCCACGATACCCGTGAGAGGTGCGCCAAAATGGAGTGGGACCGCCATACGAACCCTGCAACTGGCCACCCTCGGTGGAGCTCCCCACGGGCCACGATCCTCGTGAGCGCTTGGGCTCAAGCTTCCACGGGTGGACGCAGGTCTGGAAGCAGGCGCGAGCGCCCTCCTGCCTCTGCAAGCCAGCCCCCCGCGCCGACACGATGGGGTGCTGCATGGCCTCCCGCCAGTCTTTCGACATGGCCTCCCGCCAGTCTTTCGACCTGACGCGGTACACAGACGCCACGAGCCTCTTCGACGCTCTTGCGTTCACCGTGGAGGGCCTTCACCCAGTGCGCTTGGTCCGCATGCCGTGGCTTCTGCAGCAGCGCGGCACGGTCCTGAAGAGGCGCCAGGAGCTGCCAGAGGAGGCGTTCGTGTCCGCCGGCGAGCTGCGGGCCATTTGGGAAGCCAGCGGGCGAGGAGGAAAGGACAATGTGGCGCCGATCATCACCATCTCGTTCTGCTGGGACTCACGCGAGCATCCCGACCCCAATGGGGTGCAGCTGAGCTTGGTGATAGACACCCTGGAGCAGGAGCGCCACAAGTACTCCAGAGGAAATAATGACTTTCAGGGGTTCAGCGACATGGGCGTCTTCTGGGACTGGCCCTCGCTGCTGCAGGGCGACCCCGACAAGGCCGATGAGGCGAAGGCCGCCGCCCTGCGGCAAGGAAAAACCCAGAAGGACGCGCAGAAGGCCGCGGACGAGGCCAAGCGTACCCCCGCCGAGAAGGCCGCGTTCAAACATGGGCTGCAGGAGACGATGGACCTGTGGTACGCCCACCAAGCCACTACCGTCCTCCTGCTCACCCAGCGCCCCCGCGAGCGAGGCAGCGAGCGCGAGTGTGGCTACGACCAGTCGGGCTGGACAACGTACGAGCGTTGCTCCGCGGAGCAGATCAAGAAGGTCTACCGTTATGAGGCGAAGTGGGACGCCGTTGCCGACCTTGGGGGAGGGGCGGGGGTGACGAAGGCCGGGAGGAGGTGGCCGGTGGGCCCGGACGAGTTCGACCGGCTCATCAAGGACAGGTCCTTCACCAACGGCGCGGACCGGGAGGCGGTGAAGGCGCTCTTCCGGCGGATGAGCCGCGCGCAGCTGGGCGGCGTGACGATTCTGGACTTCGACGGGATGCCGCCCCCGACCCCCGCGCAGGTCGCGGGGCTCGCAGGCTGCCTGCGGCTGTGCGCCCGCCTGGAGAAATTGGACCTGAACAATTGCAACATCGGCGACGACGGCGCGCAGGCCCTGGCGAAGGCGCTGCCCTCCACGCCCGGCCTGTGGTGGCTGGGCCTGGCCAGCAACGGCATCGGCGACGACGGCGCGCAGGCCCTGGCGAAGGCGCTGCCCTCCACGCGCGGCCTGCGGCAGCTGTTCCTGGACAGCAACGGCATCGGCGACGACGGCGCGCAGGCCCTGGCGAAGGCGCTGCTCTCCACGCGCGGCCTGCAATGGCTGAGCCTGAGCAGCAACGGCATCGGCGACGACGGCGCGCAGGCCCTGGCGAAGGCGCTGTCTTCCATGCCCGGCCTGCAGGTGCTGTACCTGGGCCGCAACGGCATCGGCGACGACGGCGCGCAGGCCCTGGCGAAGGCGCTGCCCTCCATGCCCGCCCTGCGGAGGCTGTACCTGAGCAGCAACGGCATCGGCGACGACGGCGCGCAGGCCCTGGCGAAGGCGCTGCCCTCCATGCCCGGCCTGCAGTACCTGTACCTGGGCCGCAACGGCATCGGCGACGACGGCGCGCAGGCCCTGAAGTCCGCCTTGGGCGACAGATGCGATGATGTCTTGGTCCTCTGAGCCAGGGGCGAGCCGCACAGGGCGCGGGTGAGAAACGGGAGGGCGCGCGGGAAGGGGAGGACCCAAACGCGACAAGGAGGACCCAAACACGACCAGGAAGCACCCAGACACGACAAGATCAAGACAAATTCACGACAAGTAGCAGAAGCGAAAATGGGAGGCGATCCGCTTTCGACTTCCACTTTCGCCTACCGCTTTCGCTTTCGCCTCCCGCTTTCGCTTTCGTCCCCTACTTTCGCCTTCCTTCGCCTCCCGCTTTCGCTTTCGCCTCCCACTTTCGCTTCCTTTCGCCTCCCGCTGTCGTTTTCGCCTCCCACTTTCGCCTCCCACTTTCGCTTTCCCCTCCCGCTTTCGCCTCCCACTTTCGCCTTCCGCTTTCGCTTTCGCCTCCCGCTTTCGCCTCCCGCTTTCGCTTTCGCCTCCCAATTTCGCCTCCCGCTTTCCGCTTTCGCCTCCCGCTTTCGCTTTCCGCTTTCGCTTGCGTCTCTCACTTTCGCAGCATGGGGCCGGTTCGGGTCGATTCGGCAGCGGGCCGCTTCGTTTGTAGCATGCTCGGGTTCGGCGCTATATAGTTCGGTTGGAGCCAGTTCGGTTTTGCCTCGGGACGGTTCAGTTTCGGGCGGTCCGGTTCGGATGATCGAAAGGTTGGCGCGCAGTGCGTTACAGGAGGGGCATGGGGGTCGAGGTCTGCTTTCTGGAATGGGAGTCTGAAGTCCAGGTCTGGACCTCAACTCCGGATCTCAGGTCCGGGCCCCAGGTCTGGACCTCAGCTCTGGACCTCAGGTCTGGACCTCAGGTCCGGACCTCCGCTCCGGACCTCAAGTCCGGGCCCCAGGTCCGGACTTCAGGTCCGGATCTCAGCTCTGGACCTCAGGTCGGTCCCCTTCGGCGGGCTCGTCGCGGCCCCGCAAGGGCCAGATCCTGAGGCCTGACGCGCATTGATCCGCGCTCTTGGGGCATTGCGCCCGTTCTTCGCCCGCTCGTGGGGCACCGCCGTGGCGACTTGGGCCCAGGTGAGGCCTGCAGACCCCGCAGGGGCGCCCTGGTGCGCGCACGATATACAGTCGAGACGCTAAACTAAGGAACAGTTTGGGTTCGGAAGGGGCTCGATGTTCCTTAGGTTCCTCCAGTGTGGTTCCTCTTGCCCTCCTGGGGCACGGAGGCGCTCACAGGGCCAAGAAGGGGCTTCGTCTCTTATTTAACGTTCCTTCTTTCAGCGGCCCGACTGTAGAAACACAGCAGCTCAAACACATGACGTATAATCGCTTTTTCCCAACCCTCCTTGGTTGGGTATTCGTTTTGAATAGAGCACTGTGGTCGCGTCCCTCCTCCTCCTCCTCCTCCTCCTCCTCCTCCTCCTCCTCCTCCTCCTCCTCCCGCCTCCCGCCTCCTCCTGCCCTCTCTTCGCCGACGATGGGGGCTGCGATCTGCGAAACTGTCGCCACTTTCGAGGGCTGCTGGTGGGTTCTGCGGAGTGAGGCACCGCGCGGACCTGAGCGAGACCTCGCCGTCCCTGGGGTGCTGCGATCTGCGAAACTGTCGCCACTTGCGAGGGCTGCTGGTGGGTCCAGCGGAGTGAGGCACCGCGCGGACCTGAGCGAGACCTCGCCGTTCCAGGGGGGCTGCGATCTGCGAAATTGTCGCCACTTTCGAGGGCTGCTGGGGGGTGCAGCGGAGTGAGGCACCGCGCGGACCTGAGCGAGACCTCGCTGTCCCTGGGATGCTGCGATCTGCGAAACTGTCGCCACTTTCGAGGGCTGCTGGTGGGTCCAGCGGAGTGAGGCACCGCGCGAACCTGAGCGAGACCTCGCCGTCCCTGGGGTGCTGCGATCTGCGAAACTGTCGCCACTTTCGAGGAAGAGGAGGTCTTAACCGTAAGCAGTGGGTTCTTAACCGTAAGCGTGGTACCAGACTAATGTACCAGACTAATGTACCAGACTAATGTGCCAGACTAATGTACCAGCCTAATGTGCCAGACAAATTTACCAGACTAGCGGTACCAGACTCATGTACCAGACTAGCGGTACCAGACTCATGTACCAGACCAGGCATCAGCATAGGCACGTGTGCCCTTGTCTTCCCAGTTTGGTGCCTCGTTTTGCCGCGAGGTCGGCATCCTGGCCAGATGCCTCGTTCGCGCAGTTTGCGTGGCCCCTGCGGCATGCGGTATGCGTGTTTTTCTGTTGGCGTCGGCGGCGCTCCCAAGGGGGGAAGCGAACCAGGGCGCAGGCCTTCTGCGGAGGCGCGTGGCTTCTCAGGAGCCCCCTGACCTTCTGCTGAGTGTTCCGTGCCTGCGGGGAGAGTTTTTGCTCGAGAATCTGCCAGGAGGCCCGAGGCTCTCCGAGCTCTGCGTCGCCCAGCGCGCTCCACCACTCGCAGAGGGCCCGCTCGCAGGCACCCGAGACGCACACGTGCTCGCATCGTCGTGGCAGCGGCTCGTAGAGCCCCCCCCCCGCGGCGGCTCCAGGCCACGTGCGAGCAGCTGCCCTGCGCGCAGTGGAGCGCGCCTGTCTTCTCTTCGGGTGTTGCTCGAAGTGCCCCTGGCCCAAGGCACCCCCAGTTTTCCGCTCCATTCTGGAGCCCCTGGGGCCCTCTGGGCCTCATGAGGGGTGCCCTGGAGGCCGTTCGGGCCACCCCGAGAATCCTAGGGGGTTACTTTGGGCCAGGGGCACTTCTAGCAACACCCGATCTCTGAGAGGGCCCGCCCCTTCTCGCTTTCCCCCCCGGGGGCTCGCCGACGGCGGTCGGCCTGCCAGGGGGGTGGTGCGCCAGCCACGGCGCCTCGCCGCCGTCCCCCCACCTGCTGCCGCCGCTGCGGGGAGCAGCGACCGCCTGGAGCGCGCAGCCCTGCCTCTTATGCAGAAGAAGCAGCGTCGGGGGTGGACAGACCTCCTACCCTGACACGTCGATTAGCGAATTGTTGACGCTTCGCGAATCCCCACCAGCCCATCCTACACCAGGCATTCGAACGAAGAGCGCCGATGATCGGCAGCTGTTCTCCTCCCCTTCTTCCTCCTTCTCCTCCGCCTTCTCGTCCTCCTCTCCTCCTCCTCCTCCTCCTCCTCCTCCTCCTCCTCCTCCGCCTCTTCCTCCTCCCTGGTGGGTCTTGGAGGTATCTTCGGACGTTTTGGTTGGCTCTTGGGCCTTGCGGGCGAGCGGGCGGCGCTCCGCCAGCCTTCGCGCAGGGCCCAAGAGGGGCTCCAAGACGTCTCTTGGAGCCATCTTGGAGGAGATTGATCAACGAAGGGGGGTCCCTCAATTAGGGTTCCCCCCTCAGGAGCCATGATCCTCGTGAGGGGTGTCGAATTTTAGCCCTCCCATGGGTCGATCTTGGACGCTTTAACGCGACGCGGCCCCCCTGTCCATGTCAGTGGGGAGGGGGTAGGGGGAGGGGTAAACCCCTCCCCGCAGGGGAAGAAGGAGGGGTGGAAGAGGAAACCTTCTAAACCACCGACGCCTAGAGGGCTAGTGGGATTTCTTGGTTCCCCCAGTGGTTCTCTGTGGTTCTCAGTCCACTTAGTGGCTGGGTTCTGCAGGGTTCTCTTGGGGGTTCTTTTTTTTCGATGTATAGACTTGTGGAAATATTTCGAAATTGAAAATTATGTGTTCCTTTGAATATCTGGGTTCTTCCAGGGGTTCTCTGTGGTTCTCAGTGCACTCAGTGGCTGGGTTCTGCAGGGTTCTCTTGGGGGTTCTCTTTTTCGATGTGTAGAAGGGGGAAATGCTGTCGAAATTAAAAAGTATGTTTTTCTTTGAATTTCTGGGTTCTCCCGGGGGTTCTCTGTGGTTCTCAGTGCACTCAGTGGCTGGGTTCTGCCGGGTTCTTTTGGGGTTTTCTTTATTTCATGTATAGAAGGGGGAAATGCTGTCGAATTTGAAAATTATGTTTTTCTTTGAATTTCTGGGTTCTCCCAAGGGTTCTCTGTGGTTCTCAGTGCACTCAGTGGCTGGGTTCTGCAGGGTTCTCTTGGGGGTTCTCTCTTTCCGATGTATAGAAGGGGGAAATGCTGTCGAATTTCAAAATTAGGTTTTTCTTTGAATTTCTGGATTCTCCCGGGGGTTCTCTGTGGTTCTCAGTGCACTCAGTGGCTGGGTTCTGCAGGGTTCTCTTGGGGGTTATCTTTTTTTTCCATGTATAGAAAGGGGAAATGCTGTCGAATTTGAAAAGTATGTTTTTCTTTGAATTTCTGGGTTCTCCCGGGGGTTCTCTGTGGTTCTCAGTGCACTCAGTGGCTGGGTTCTGCAGGGTTCTCTTGGGGGTTCTCTTTCTTCGATGTATACTGTCGAATTTGAAAAGTACGTTTTTCTTTGAATTTCTGGGTTCTTGCGGGGGTTCTCTGTGGTTCTCAGTTCACTCAGTGGCTGGGTTCTGCAGGGTTCTCTTGGGGGTTTTCCTTTTTCGATGTATAGAAGGGGGAAATGCTGTCGAAATTAAAAAGTATGTTTTTCTTTGAATTTCTGGGTTCTCCCGGGGGTTCTCTGTGGTTCTCAGTGCACTCAGTGGCTGGGTTCTGCAGGGTTCTCTTGGGGGTTCTTTTTTTATGTATAGAAAGGGGGAAAGGCTGTCGAATTTGAAAATTATGTTTTCTTTGAATTTCTGGGTTCTCCCAGGGGTTTTCTGTGGTTTTCAGTCAACTCAGTGGCTGGGTTCTGCAGGGTTCTCTTGGGGGCCTCTTTGTCGATGTATAGAAGGGGGAAATGTGGTCGAATTTGAAAATTAAGTTTTTCTTTGAATTTTTGGGTTCCCCAGGGGTTCTCTGTGGTTCTCACTCGACTCGGTGGCTGGGTTCCGCAGGGTTCTCGTGAGGCTCTGCGACCTCCCAGAACTCCATTCCCGGGCAACATTTTGAAAGCCCGGAGCCAACTGTAGGCCACTTCGTGGTCTTCGACTTCCCAGAACTCCATTCCCGGGACACATTCTGAATGCCCGGAACCAACTGTAGGCCACTTCGTGGTCTTCGAGTTCCCAGAACTCCATTCCCGGGCCACATTTTGAATGCCCGGAGCCAGCTGTGGACCACTTCGGTGTCTTCGAGTTCCCAGAACTCCATTCCCGGGCCACATTTTGAATGCCCGGAGCCAACTGTAGGCCACTTCGTGGTTTTCGAGTTCCCAGAATTTCATTCCTGGGCATGATTTTGAATGCCCGGAGCCAACTGTAGGCCACTTCGGGGCTTTCGAGTTCCCAAGTCTCCACTCCCGGGCCACAGTTTGAATCCTGAGGCAGGCTGATGCTGAGGCGTGGGCAGGCTGAGGCTGAGGCAGGCTGAGGCTGAGGCCGAGGCTGCAGGCAGACTGAGGCTGAGGCTGAAGCAGGCTGAGGCTGAGGCTGAGGCAGGCTGAGGCTGAGGCTGAGGCAGGCTGAGGCTAAGGCAGGCTGAGGCTGAGGCTGAGGCTGATGCAGGCTGAGGCTGAGGCACGCTGAGGATGAGGCCGAGGCTGAAGGCAGACTGAGGCTGAGGCTGAAGCAGGCTGAGGCTGAGGCTGAGGCTGAGGCTGAGGCTGAGGCTGAGGCAGGCTGAGGCTGAGGCTGAGGCTGAGCTGAGCAGGCTGAGGCAGGCTGAGGCTGAGGCTGAGCAGGCTGAGGCTGAGGCTGAGGCAGGCTGAGGCTGAGGCTGAGGCAGGCTGAGGCTGAGGCTGATGAGGCTGAGGCTGAGGCTGAGGCTGATGCAGGCTGAGGCTGAGGCAGGCTGAGGCTGAGGCCGAGGCTGAAGGCAGACTGAGGCTGAGGCTGAAGCAGGCTGAGGCTGAGGCAGAGGCAGGCTGAGGCTGAGGCTGAGGCAGGCTGATGCTGAGGCAGGCTGAGGCTGAGGCTGAGGCTGATGCAGGCTGAGCTAGGCTGAGGCAGACTGAGGCTGAGGCTGAAGGCAGACTGAAGGCAAGAGGCTGAGGCAGGCTGAGGCTGAGGCTGAGGCAAGATGCTGAGGCAGGCTGAGGCTGAGGCTGAGGCTGATGCAGGCTGAGGCTGAGGCAGGCTGAGGCTGAGGCCGAGGCTGAAGGCAGACTGAGGCTGAGGCTGAAGCAGGCTGAGGCTGAGGCTGAGGCAGGCTGAGGCTGAGGCAGGCTGAGGCTGAGGCTGAGGCAGGCTGCAGGCTGAGGCTGAGGCAGGCTGAGCCTGAGGCCGAGGCTGAAGGCAGATTGAGCTGAGGCGAAGCAGCTGAGGCAGAGGCAGGGCAGGCTGAGGCATGGCTGAGACAGCAGAAGCTTGAGGCAGGGCTGAGGCTGAGGCTGAGGCTGAGGGCTGATGCAGGCTGAGGCTGCGGCAGGCTTGGCTGAGGCTGAGGCTGAAGCAGGCTGAGGCTGAGCAGGCTGAGGCTGAGGCTGAGGCTGAGGCAGGCTGATGCTGAGGCAGGCTGAGGCTGAGGCTGAGGCTGATGCAGGCTGAGGCTGAGGCAGGCGGAGGCTGAAGCCGAGGCTGCAGGCAGACTGAGGCTGAGGCTGAAGCAGGCTGAGGCTGAGGCTGAGCAGGCTGAGGCTGAGGCTGAGGCAGGCTGATGCTGAGGCCGAGGCTGAGGCTGAGGCTGAGGCTGATGCAGGCTGAGGCTGAGGCAGGCTGAGGCTGAGGCTGAGGCAAAGGCTCAAGGCAGACTGAGGCTTTGGCTGAAGCAGGCTGAGGCTGAGGCTGAGGCTGAGGCTGAGGCAGGCTGAGGCTGAGGCTGAGGCAGGCTGATGCTAAGGCAGGCTGAGGCTGAGGCTGAGGCTGAGGCTGAGGCTGATGCAGGCTGAGGCTGAGGCAGGCTGAGGCTGAAGCCGAGGCTGAAGGCAGACTGAGGCTGAGGCTGAAGCAGGCTGAGGCTGAGGCTGAGGCAGGCTGAGGCTGAGGCAGGCTGAGGCTGAGGCTGAGGCAGGCTGAGGCGCAGGCTGTGACTGCGACTGCCGTTGCCACTGCGACTGCCATCGCGAATGCGACTACGACTGCGAGAACAGCAGAATTCTACAACAGGATTCTCATGTGAATCTTAAGGGGAATGCTTCCAGATATGCTCCTACACATCGCTGTTAGGTTGCTTTGCCGGGATAATGGATGTAAACCTTCATATGGGAAAGGATGGGCTTGTGACACATTGCGCCATGCTCCAATAATGCGGTGCCAGCTGGAACATGGGTTTCCTTGTATCCCACCGTTGTCTTGCATCGGACGCCTGATCAGATTCGGGCCTCCCATTGGTGGGCGGAAGAGTGTTCAGAGCCTTCTTACGTGCTGCATTTTCCATGTGCACTGCTGGGTACCTGGGGCATTCTCGATTGCTATGCTTGCCTGCAGTCGCACTTTCTTCCTGCTTTTCCCTGCCCCTGGCCTCGGCTTTTGGGCCCCCAACTTTGTTTCGATCCTTCGCTCTTTCGCCCCCCGCTTGCAGGCCAAGTTTTCTTTGCCGCTTGGTGAATGCTGGTTCACACTAGGCTTTCAAGAAAGGTCTCGAATCTTTGTTGTTTCGGGCCGCTTTGACCGTGCAGGGCCTTGGAGCCACCATCTGGCGCACGTGTGATGATGATGGTGATGATGATGATGCTGATGATGATGCTGCTGATGCGGCTGATGCTGATGATGGTTATGATGATGATGCTGATGATAATGATGATGGTGGTGGTGGTGGCGGTGATGATGATGATGATGATGATGATGATGATGATGATGATGATGATGATGATGATGATGATGATGATGATGATGACGATGACGAGGATGTTGATCCTGATGATGTTGCTGATGATGCTGCTGCTGATGATGATGATGATGATGATGATAATGCTGGTGGTGGTGGTGATGATGCTGATGATGATGATGATGATGATGATGATGATGGTGATGATGTCGTTGTCGTACATGTCTTTATCTCCGTCGTCGACGTCGTCGTCGTCGTCCACACCCTCGTCCTCCTCCCTCGCCCTCGTAGCCGCCCTCGCTCTCGTCTCACAGGTCCCCCTCGGACGGGGAAAGCTTCACAGATCCACTGCCTGAAGAAGGACGAAAACAATCGGGAGAGGAGGGGAGAGGGAGGAGGAAGGAGGTGGGCCTGTAGAACTGTCCGCTTCCTACCCTCCCCTTCCCGACTCCAGGCGCACGGCCTCGCCTGCCGCTTGTGGTGGCACCCCGTCAGCTCCCTTGAGCCGGCCGATGGTCACAGCTGCGCCCGGCGCGCCTCGCCCAACAGCACCGACCTCACGCCCATCAGCAGCAGCGAGGCGGCATCCCCGTCCCGTTCCTCCCCCCTGCGCCACAACCCCCGCCTCCCCTTTCACAGTTCATTCATTCCCCCTTCCTCCACATCCCTCCCCCCCCCTCTCCCCCTCCCGCCTCCCCTAGACCCCCATCTCTTTCTTTGTTTCTCCCCATCCTCCCGCTCTCCACCTCTTCCCTCTCCCCCTACCCCACCATCGCCACCGCCCTTTCCCCTTTTCCCTTCCCCCTTCCCGTTTTCCTGCCTTTTCCCCTTTCCTCAGAGGGCGACAACATATGTACATGTACGCGGTTTGTTTCCGCCGCATTGCGTTTGGACGCGGAGGTTCGTGCACGCAAGACCGCGGAGGGCGTACATGTACACATGTCGTTGCTCGCTCATTTCCCTCTTCAGCTCCAGACTGGATGAGGGTGGGGTGCTTTCCTTATTCAATGGGTTTGAAAATGAAGCGCTGTCTTTCCGACTCACTTCTGCTCCTCCGTTCTTTGTCCACCCTTCTTCCTCTTCCTCTTCCTGTTCCAGCTCCTCTCTCACCTCCTTGCTCCTCCTCCTCCCCGGGAAACAGACACCATAAGCCACCAACACTAACAACAATACCAACAACAACGACAACACCATCATTAACAACAGCAACATGAACAACAACAACAACAACAATAACACATGCGACACTATCAACAGCACCAACAGTAACAACAATACCAACAACAGCAACACCATCAGCAACACCACCACCAACATCAACAACAAAACACCAACACCCAATACGCAAACAATCAAAACAGCATGTCGGACGGATTCGAGTCGCAGTCCGTGGTATCCCGCATTTGTTCAAATTCATTATGTTTTTATTTTGGTGATGCGTTTGTTTGCCAGTTTGCCATTTTGGTGTTGCCTTTCTCAGCCCCTTCCGTATCCTCCTCGCTCGCTTGTAGTAAGACTTGTGAGGAGATTTGGGCTACTGGCTGTAGTATGAGCTGTGGTACGACCTGTAGTCGGGGCGGTCGTAGGGGGCAGTAGTGGTGGAAGCTGTGCTACCGACTGTAATGGAGCTGCAATGGGAACTGCACTAGAAGCTGTGTCAGGGAACTGTAGGAGAAGCTGTATCCGCATACGTCTTATACATCGTATTATGAGCCGTGGTGAGAGCTGTACGGCTGGCTACACGAGAAATTATACCAGGAACTATTTCAGGAGATGCTTTGGGGTCAGTACAAGTGGTTGCAGTTGGAAGTTCTGTGGGGGCTTGAATGAACGGAAGTCCTGAAGGCTGTGCTGGTTGTGGTCGGACTTGCAATACTAGTTGCATTGGGATATATAGCAGGATTGCCACATCAACCGTAATAAAAGTTGTAGCAAGAGATGTCGTGAGAGTTGTGCGGGTGGCTATCGTAGAAACTGCTGTAAGGGACTGAACTACGAACTGTGACCGGAGCTGTTTCAGGGTTTGTAGTCGGAGCCGTTTTTACAACCGTCGAAGAGCAGCTCTGGGAGTTGTACTAAAGGCTGTAGTAACAGCTGTAGCGCGTCCTGTTTTAGGATGTACTGCGGGGGGCGGTAATAAGAACTGCAACGAGAACTTTACGACTGGGACTGGTCGTAGTAGACGGTGCAACGGAAGCTGTATTCGTGGTTGTGTCAAGAAGTTGTAGCAGGAGCTGTACTACGATACGCAGTATGCGTGGTCGTAGGAGCTGTAGTGAAAGCCGTACCACTGGCTGCATAAGGAACTATGACAGAGCTATAATGGCAATCCCCTGCGGCAGTTGCGGGCTCGCTCGGATCACCCCCCTACGGCAGTGGAACACCTAGGGATCGTGGCGACTCCAGCGAATGCATCAACTCCAATCCAGCCTCGAGGGGGGTTGGGACAAGCTTCATACAGCGATTCGTGTGCTCAGGACAGTACCTGGTGGTGCGGAGATCCGTGCTCGGCTCGCAGTTGCTTATATTCGCCCGCTTTGGCTGTGGGCTTGCCCCCTGTTGGCGCCACCTCCTGTTTCGACATGCAGAGCGCTGTATCGATCGATTACCAGGTCGACCAATCGCTGGTGGTGCTACGGGCGATGGTGGGCACAACACGTAGATCTACATCCTCGCCTGTCGGGATCCCTGCAGGCCTTCAAAATCATCTCGCAGGAGCGCCTCGTGTGGTCGACCTTCCTGGATAATGCGGTGATCATGCATGCCCAGGTGCTGGGCCTTCGTTTTGTTGCCTACGCGGGTCGCCGTGGTTGCTGCCTCGAGGTGGGCGACACTGACGATCACAGAGTGGTTCGGGTGCTGGAGGGTGTTGTGGATGGCCAGGGGAGGTTCTGGACTGACAGACCTGATCACCCACGCTATGAGAAGAAGGTCGAACACTTGCTGCGTTGTGTGGCAAGGATCAGGTGTTTGGCCGAGGTCAATGACAAACGTTTCGACTCTGAAGAGATCCTCGGCGTGGACGTGGATGCGGAGTCGAATCTGCTGTACAAGCGCTTCTTCAAGCGTCTGGGAGAGGATGATCGCAGGCTCGTGCGTATTTTTCGTGCTGGAGCTGTACCCTCTGAGACGCGACGCTGCTCGGGGAAGGCCTGCCGCCAGTGCGGGGCAGCGTCTCCCTCCTTTCGACACTGCTGGGCGGAGTGCCCAACATATGATTTCTCACGAGCTGGTATTACCAGAAGATATGGGTATCCCTTCATTGGTCGTCTACTGCACCGAGGGTTCTTAGCAAGTCGGAGTGGGCATGCTACTCCGGCTCCCAGGGCCGCACCGAGCGTGCGACCAAGCTGACTGCTGCCGTTGAGATGGCGCTGGTTGTCCTGGGTGCCGACATGGCTGAAAACAAGGCTACGTCCTCTGGACCACGACCTTCCGCAGGACGGTCGTGACGCTGGGGCTTGATTTCTCGTTCGTGTGGGGTTACTCCAGAGTTCGGGTACTCCATTTTCACCATCTTCTTCGTCAAAGAGCTATACTGGGGAATGCCTTGACAGTTGGCTTGGGGTCTGTACGACTGATGAATCAAACTTAGATTTGTGGTATGCGCGTTTCTAGGAACATAACTGAAAACTGTGCTATTGGTTGAGCCGTGAAAGTTGCGCTGGGGTGTGCCGTATGATGTGTGCCATTCGTTGTAGTAGTACCTGCATCAAGAGTTGTAGTGGGAGCCATGCTCGTGGCTGTAGTAGGAATTTGTGTAGGAGCTGTATGGAGGCAGTGGTAAGAGTTGTAGGGGGAGCGGTACTACTGCCTGCAGTTGGAGCTTAACGGGGTGATTGTTACATGGGACTGTATTAGGAACTGTATCAAGCTACGTCTTGTTCGTTGTAGTAGGACATGCAGGGAGTTCTGTACTGCTGGCTGCACTCGGACTTGCATTAGGGGCTGCAGTGGGAGAGCCATTCAGAGCTGCATCGGGGTCTGTACCATGTGTTGTAGTTGGGATTGCAGTAGGGACCTTGGTCGGAGCATTGGTGAAAGCTGTGCTATTGTCTGCACGGAGAATGGCAATCATCACAGCGCTGGTGTATTTCAGTAGGGTGTGCAACGTACACTGTAGCAGGAGCTGTAGCACGAGTTCGGGTGTCTGTTGTACTATCAGCTGTCGTAAGATGTGTTGCCGGATCTGTAGCTAGAGCCCAGGAGGGAGACTCATGGGATGGGGCTGAGGAACCATCTGAGAAAGATGCTTCGGATAACGATTCTGAGCAGGACGAAGGGAGGAGTCACTCTTCCTTCTCCTGCCTCCTCCTCCTCCTCCTCCTCCCCAGCTCGTATTCCTCATCCTCTTCCTTTTTTTACCCTGTTCGTGTTCAGTGTGCTGATCATTCTCGTGCTCCTTCGATCTGTTTCCTCAGTGTACTGATCATCCTCGTGCTCCTTTGATCTCTCCAATGGGAGGAGGAGGAGGAGGAGGAGGAGGAGGAGGAGGAGCAGCTGCAGGAGGAGTTGTACCAGCCATATAGGGGCCACGACGGAGGCGTGAGCTGCTCGGCAGGGTGTGTGAGGGCGGGCCCTCGCGCGCCGCTGGGCGGGCCGCCCCGCGGCGCGCCTCCCGCCCGCCGGGGCCGTCGGCTTTTCGGGCGCAGCGGCCTCGCCCACCCGGCGCCGCTGCGGCCACACTCCGAAGGTTGCCGTGCTTTCGGATGCAACTCCTGGGAGGTCAAGTTCTGATTTAGCCCTGGTTCGAAATCCCGCTCAATCTGGCCTAATCCCGCTTAGTCCCGCTTGATCCGGCTCAATCCCGCTTGATCCGAGGCCCACTCTGGCGTAACAGCCCCCCAATGGGGCTTCATCCTCCTCAATCCTTCCGGCGGAAACCTCCCCAGTGGTTGCCTCCTAACGTGCTGCTCGCGTGGCTCCTCGGAGCTCGGGGAGGCGGCCGGTGGAAGGCTCCTCCTCGCCGCGGCTCGCGGCCAGCCGGCCTCCCGCCGTCGGGCCCCGCTGCCGTCCTCTGGGCCCGCCGGGCGCTGCCGAGGCCGGTCTCCGCTCGGGAGCTCTCGCTGCGGCCCTGCCTGCCGGGGCGGCGGCGGACGCCGGGCCCCTCGGCCTCCTCGCGTCTCGAGGCGCGGGGCTCTGGCGCGTGCCCGTCGCTGGGGCCGGGGCTCGGCTCGTCGCAGCCCCGGCGCCTCCCAGGAAGGTCTCGGCCTGCTGGCGGTGGTGCTGGGCCGCCTCCGCTCCCGGGCTCTTCGGGGTCGTGCTGGCCTGGTGGTGGATGCCCGGCCAGGCCAGACTTGTGGAAGGCGCTTAACGGAGAGGAAGCGTGCTGCCAAATCATTTCCAGATGTCTAAAACATGTGCCAAACATGTTTTAGATAGGTGACAAGCATGTTTGAAACATGTTTGGAACATGTTTTACGCATTTTTAGCATTTTTCAATTCAATGACAGGACTGTTAGAGTGTCCACTGTCATGGCATCCACAAGGCTGGACGGCAGATCTCCTCCGCCACTTGTCGCTGCCGTTGCTGCCCGTGCCGGCCCGGGCGCGCGGCTGAGAGGGCCTGGCAGGTGGGCATCTGCAGCGCCTTGTGGCGACGCAGGGCACGCAGGCCGCGGGCCGACTGTGCCATCCTGCCTCTCGACTTGCTCGCACCCGCCAGTCTCCCAGGGCATGACTATGCCTCTCCACGGCCTGCCTGGCCAGCCATGCTGTCTCCACCTCCGGGCCCTGGTGCGCGTCGCCCCTGTGCCGCCCGGAGCCCAGGCGCACGGAGCCCTCGCGTACAGACAGCCTGCCTTACGAGTGTTCATCAGGTCTGGATGTTCTGCATCGTGTAGCTTGCGGGGGGGCAAGCTTCCGTCTCCTACTCCAGCTTGATTCTCTGGGTGCTGCTGCCACTCTCCTTGGCCTTCAGCTGCTTCGAAGATATCGTTGCTGTCGTTGTCAGTCTCGCTGTCGGAGCTGATCGGGGAGAGGTTCTCTGGCGTCCAGGGGCGAGCTTCATCCGCCGTGGTTGGGAGAGGTCTCCTCGTGCTGCAGTAGGGGCTGTGCATGTCGATGTGGACGCTGCGCCCTTGGAAACTGTCATGTGGGCCACCGCTGCCTGCCAGGTCCCATGCTGTAACGCTTGCAAGCTCGTCATCAGCCGTCTCCTGGTCCTCCGCGTGGTCCTGACCACTCCGTCGCAGAAGTCCCGCAGCTGCTGGAGGTCGGCGACGCCTGCTGCTTGTTTGATCTTCAGGTCTCCGTGGGTCTCTGGTCAGCTCCGCCATGTATGGAATGCACCACTCCATCCAACCTTGGTAGTCGTCCCAGATACTGTTGTCAACCATGTTCACTCATTGTTCAGTGCATCCTTCCAGGTGGTCTACCAGTCTTGAGCTAATGTCGATAAGTGCTTGCGGTTGTGGTGCATCTGATGGCCTCTACGTCGATGTCTGTTGCGGCTCTTATTCATCTTCGAGGTCAATCCTTTGCTTGCTGCTGGGCCCTAGCCTTTGGAAGTCGATGCTGGCTTCTGGGCTGGGCTCTGTTTGTTGTCCATCACGCTGTTGGTCCATCTGATCCCCAGCCGCATCTTTGGAATTGGGGGCTCGCCCACTTCACATGCGTCTTATGACCCGAAGGCCCCCTTGTATGGGTGGTAGGCACGGCGTGCAGAGCTTCCTCGCAGTATCCGCTACTGTGCGACTGCCTTGGGATTGCAGGCACTGGTGCCTCCAAAGCGCTCGCACCAGAGCCAGCCTTTCAGGTACTGCGTCTTGTGCGTCTTGTGGACGAGGCGCGTGGACGAGGCGCGTGCCGATCGTGATGGCGGTCTGGTTCGGCCTCAGGTTGCCCTGTTCGTCTCTGTGAAGACCCACTGCCCCTGGATCTGGACTAGAGTCCCGTAGCCGCTCTCGTGCACTTTGTCTTGCTTCTGGCCCCGATCTGAAGCTGTTGCACCACCATCTGGGGTGCAGCTTTTGAAGCACATGTCCTTGTGCCGTCGCTGCCTGATTGGTGGTGATGCGCTTCTTTCTGGAAGCTTTTGCTTGCTTGCCGTCCTTGTTGGGGCCCACCGCTGCGACCTCCATGTTGATGCAGAGCAGGCGATTCTGCACCACTGTCGTGATCTGGTCGGTGATCTGATGCTCTGCGGATGGTCTGCTGATCTAGGGCCCCATGTTCTGCCCCCCATGCTGCATATCGGTAGCTCGTTACCTATGACCCTTCATGTCGGTCCTTCCCACCGCTCCATCTCGTTTGGGGTGCTCCACCAGGTGGCTGGTAATGTGGTGCCCGACTAAGGGGTCGTGGCTGCGCTGCAACTGCTCCTTCACCATGGGGCAGAGGTCGTAATCCGTGCTGCGGAACTCGTGGTCACCTGGGTCCTGCAACAACTTCAGCGCGTCGAGGGCGTGCTTGCAGACGCTGACTATTTGCAGGCTGCTTCCTGGGGCCGGCTTTGTGTGCTCGGTCGCTTTGCCCATGGCCGTGAGTTCTGCCCTCGGGGCCGTATGCGGCGCCCTGCTGGTGCCGTACCAGGCCGCCACCACATATGGTATTTCTTTTGCTGAGTCGATCTCGACGTCTACTACTGCCCAGCCGCATCTCCTCAACCTCGGGTCTGTGGTCGTGTTTCCTGCACCTCCTGAGCCATCCGTGAAGACGTAGTTGGCCAGTACCTTGATGCCCTGGTGACCTGCTTCCTGGGCTGTGGCGCTGGCGCAGAAAGCCTGGACTGCTTTCTGGGCGTCCTCGTCATGGTCCACCTGCTGAGCCCAGGCCTTGGGGGGGATGCCTCTCAGCCAGAAGAGCAGGTTCAGCTGCTGCTCGATCGCTTGCTGCACATTCTTGGCGATGCTGCCGTCTCTGCCGCACTCTATCGTTGCACTGGCAGGGCAGTGGCAGCAGCGACGCTCTTCGGTCTCAGGCTCCCTGCCGCACCCGGGGCACCTTTCCGCACCTTCACCGACGAGCAGGGCTAGTCGTCGCCTCGCTCTGGTCCGGGTGCCCCCTGCCGCGATGGTCTCCAGCATGGTTGCCTCGGCGTGCTGGCCCTGGTTCCCACGCCTGCGGAGGTGGCGCTGCACCTGGTAGAGATCCTCCTCCCTCTTGAAGCCCACGTCCTCCTCGGAACTCCGCAGCTTCTCTCCACAGAGCAGCTTGTACACTGGTCTCCACCTCCCAGAGGAGGGCCCCAAAGTGTGGAATGTCGTCCTGCTTGTAGGCGCACTCGTCGCCAGTAGGGCTGATCCAGATGTCAAGGCGTGCCGGGTCCCAGCCAAGACCCATGAGCTGCGCGATGACTCCTGCCATCGGGCCCTTGACATGGCACCACGTCTTGTTGGGTTCCAGGGCGTGGAGCTCGGCGTAGGGTTTGTCCCATTCCATTTTGTAGTGCTTCAGCCCGCCTGCGTGGTCCGCGATGCTGAGCCAGAACTGCCTGACCTGGTCTGCTACAGTCGGGTCGCTGAAGAAAGAACCGTTTTCGTTGGGGAGGGGCTCCATGTTCCTCAATTGTTTCGCAACTTGCCTCAGGTTTTCCTTATGTTTTCGATGGGAAATCGAAGCTTAACTTATGGAAAAAAGGGGCCTCGTTCCTTTCTTGGGTTCCTTAGGTCAACGCCCCGACTGTATGGCCCTGGTGACGTCCTCCTGCGGTCCTCGCTGGACGAGGAGGCTCGTGGACGTGCCGCGGCCTGCCTTTCGCCCTCCAGTCGGCAGGGCGGCCTCGGTGGCGCGCCACGTGCCGGCTTCTGTCGGGGCGATCCGGTTGCGAGTGGAGGTCCTGCGCCCGTTGGCAGGTCGGCTCCTGCCGCGGAGGCCTTCGCTGCCCCTCCTGGCACCTGGCTTGGCCAGCTCCTCGAGCCTGCAGGTTCGCTGCCGTGCCTTGTCCTGCTGTGCGTCGCGTGTCGGTCTCCTCGGGGTTCTGCCTAGTCCCGTGTCCACGCTGAGTTCGCGTACCACTCATGGCTGCTTTTTGGGCGTGCGCGGGGATTCGAGGATGGCAACGATGTCCTGCTCCAGATCCTTTTCCGTCGCCACCACGGACGTCTCAAGGAGGAGTGACGTGATGCGGAGGCGGAACAGCATGAGGTTGAGGAGGCATTCCTCCCTCTCGCCCTCCTTCCCCCGTCTCCCCTTTACCACCAGCTACCACCATCAAATTGTGATTCTATCGGAGGAGGAGGAGGCTGATGATGATGGAGAGGAGTATTGATACAAGGAGAATAAGAAGTGATACAGTCGGGGGGGGGGGGGGGGGTAGTAGGATTAGCAACTAAATGGGGATACTGATGATGCTGATGATGCTGATGATGAGGAGGAGGAGGAGTAGGAGGAGGACGTCGGTGAACCACACTCATCGTCCTCCTCCTCCTCCTCCTCCTGCTCACATCACCCTGTCATAATGCTCATCATCCGTGTAAAAGTGAATATCCTCTTTGTATCTCCCTGGGAGAGAGGGACGATGAGGAGGGGGACTGATAGGATGAGGCTCAGGAGCGATATGAGGAAGAGGATGCGGAAGATGAGGAGGGGCAGGACAAAGAGGGCATTCAGGAGTCACTTATTATTCTCCTGCATCCTCCTCCTCCGATTCGTCCTCCTCAACCTTCTCTTCACCCTGTTTGCCCCCACATACTGATTCTAAGCATGCTCCTTGTATCTCTCCTGTGGGAGAAGGATGAAGAGGAAGGGGTGGCGATTGGAGGAGGATGATGATGATGCTGATGATGATGATGATGATGATGATGATGATGATGAGGAGGAGGAGGAGGAGGAGGAGGAGGAGGAGGAGTGATATGCTGATGCGGCGGAACAGCATGAGGTTGAGGAGGCATTACTCTTCTCGCCTCCTTCCCCCTTCTTCTCTTCACAAACCTCTACCACTGTCGCTCTGCCACTCGATGGGAGGAGGAGGAGGAGGAGGAGGAATAGGAGGAGGAGGAGGAGGAGGAGAAGGAGAAGGAGGAGGAGGAAGAGGAGGAGGAGGAGGGGGAGGAGGAAGCCGATGATGATGCTGCTGCTGCTGCTGATGATGATGATGATGATGATGAGGATGAGGATGAGGATGAGGATGAGGATGGATGATGATGATGATGATGAGGATGATGAGGATGAGGATGATGATGATGATGATGATGATGATGATGATGATGATGATGATGATGATGATGATGATGATGATGATGATGATGATGATGCTGATGATGATGATGATGATGCTGACGATGCTGATGATGATGCTGATGATGATGATAATGCTGATGATGATGATGATGATGATGAAGAATAAGAAGAGGAGTATTGGTATGACGAGACGAGGAAGGGAGGAGCAGCGGTCACAGAAAAGGGCCGAGAGCGCCCCGACACATCCTGTCTGGCGCCCCCTCTTCTCCCTCCCCCATTTGTCCTTCCCCTTCCCCTTCTTTCCTCCCCCCCCCCCCCTTTGCCCTTCCCCCGCCCCCTTTGCCCTTCCCTTCCCCCCCCCTCTCTCACCCCATCAGCAGCAGCAAGGCGCAGGCCAGAGCGCAGGCGAGAGCCGCCGCGAAGGCGGCGGCGGACGCGGCGGCGGCGGAGGAAGCGATGCGGCAGCAGGAGGACCGACAGCCCATTAGCGGGGGGGGGAGGGGAGGGGAGGGGAGGGGTTGTCCAGGCCGCTTGGCTTCCCCCCTCCTCTCTTCTCCCTCCTTTGTGCCGAGCACGCCCAGAGCGAAGCCGTCGTCGAGCGAGAGAGCCTCCCTCCTCCTCTCCCTCCTCGTCCCTTTCGCCCTGTCCTCCTCCCCCTCTTCCCCTCCTCGTGGCCCGCCCTCTCCGCGACCTCTCCTCCTGCCTCCTGCCTCCCTCCCTCTCCTCTCCTTGCTGCCCACCTGCCCCCCGGCGAGGGGCGGGAGGGACGGGAGTTCGCCACGAAGCAAACGGGCCATGAGGGACACAGATCCTGGAGGCCTTTTGTGCCCGAGTCCGGGGCTGCTGCAGGCTTTTGCCGTCCTCGCTGCACTGCTGCCATCTGCTGCCGGCTCTCGTCGCGCAATCCTTCCTCTCAGCACTCCTCCTGGGATCGATCGAGGATCGAGGATCCATGATCGATCGAGGATCCAGGATCGAGGTCCGAGGTCCGAGGATCGAGGACCTGGCCCCAGCCATCCGACGATGTGCTTCTTCTTCAAGATGCGCGGCCCCAGTCCCGACCCCTTCCCCAGGGGCGTTTTTCGTCCAGGTCTCGTGGATCGCAGCCAGGGGCCGATCACGGGCCCCGGACGCTGAGATCGAGGACAATCGCCGGGAGGGAAAGCTTCAGGTTGTCGGAGGCCTGGGTCTCCGTGAGAGCCCGTGGTTCTCGTGGCAGGGGGCAGGCGCGGGGCGCGGGCTTGTGGCTCCGCGGAGGAAGCGGATGCCGCGGCGCGGGCGAGGAACGCGGCCATCGGCGGCGGTGTAGCAGGCGGCGGTGGAGGAGGGAGGGGGAGGAGGAACAGAGTCAAGACACTGAAATACGAGCCACTTTGGTTTCAGGAGGGTCCTGGCTTTTGGGCCGCTCCTCGTATCCAGGTCAGGGAACATGTTCGGGCTCGGAGCCAGCTGGGGCTAGAGTGGGAGGGTGATGAGGAGAGACAGGAGGAACATGATGATGAGAAGGGGGAAGGAATGTGATGGTGAGATGGAGGATCTGGAGGAATGTTGATTATGGCGGTGGTGCACCCCAAGTGAGGCGTTGCGAACGGATGCGAAATACAGACAGGCGGTGGTGGGTGCGATGGCGATGAGGAGGGCGAAGAAGAGGAGGGGTAGGAACTCGTGAAGGGGGAAAAGGGGGAGGGTGAGTTGGTGGAGGTGTCCGTGACTGAGGCGGAGGTATCAGCGGCCTTCTTGTGACTGGACTTGCTTGCTGGCCCTCTCTCTCTCTCTCTCTCTCTTTCTCATGATCTCCCTCTCTCACACTTTTGTTGGTTCTCTCTCTCTCTGTGTCTTTCCGTCCCTTTCACTCTCACTCTCTCTCCTTTCTCTCTCCCATGCCTCTTTTCTCCCCGTCTCCCTCCCCCCTGCGCCGCGGGGCGCCGCTGCCGCAGAGGGCCGGGTGGCCAGGCAGGATGGCCAACCGCTTCTCTCACCAGCACGTTGTGTGTTTCAGGGTTCGGCGTGGCATCGAAGACGCCTACGGCGAATCACCGCCGCCCCCTGCCTTTTGGGGGAAGCGCCTATGTGGTCGAGAGTTGGGCTAGAGGTTGGCGCAGCATGGCGACAGGGCCATGCGCCAAGTCGTTTTCCTAGAACGGTCACGGCCATGCGACGTGAGCAGCCTCGCTCACAACGCGAGCGTTTCACAAACCCATCGCCGTGCATGCAGTTTCACAGAGATGCCGTGACATTGCGGACTCATCGTTCGATGGCCAAATCAAATTCTCAATGTGGGTCAGCTTGAATCATCCACTGCACGATGACGATGAGCAGATGGAGTATGAAGATGGAGAGAGAGAGAGAGAGAGCGAGAGAGAGAGAGAGAGAGAAAGAGAGAGAGAGAGAGAGAGAACGAGACAGAACAACACATAACACGAACAATATGTATATATATAGACTGAGAGAAAGAAAGAGAGAGAGAGAGAGAGAGAGAGAGGGAGAGAGAGAGAGAGAGAGGGAGAGGGAGCGGGAGGAGGAACAGGAGGAAGAGGAATAATGGGAGAAGGAGGACATATCCTGGGCCTCTTTGGCCATTATTGGTGCAACCTCGGTGTTTCTCAGGCGCCTCTTGGAGACCTCTTCGGAGCTACCGTCCAACTAGATATGGGGTCCTTAGACACCTGTTTGACAGTCCCAGGAATTTCTCAAAACGCTTATGTGGCCGAAACTTGGGTCAGAGCTTGGCCAAGCTATCGGACCATGTGTTCCCCGAATCGGTTTGGAAAGCCTTCGGGGAACATGTGGATAAGGAGTTGGAGAGTGAGGAGGGGGGGAACGAGTAGAAGAGGAATAGGAGGAAGAAGATGAGCAGGAGGAAGAGACCGTCCGGGGGCCTCTTGGGTAATTTGTGGCTCTCCTGACAGCTCTCTGAGGGTCTTTTGGAGGCCTCTCGGGAGCCTCCTTCCTTGCGGCTCTTGGGGGCCTTTAAGGTTTCTTAAGGGCCTCTTTGGCCGTCTTGAGGATTTTTTGGATCGTCTGACGCCAGTCCCTGCCTTTTGGGAAAGCGCCTCTGTGGCTAAATGTTCCCCAATCCGTTGTGGAAAGCCTTCGGGGAACACATGGGGGAGGAGGAGGAGGAGGAGGAGGAGGAGGAGGAGGAGGAGGAGGAGGAGGAGGAGGAGGAGGAGGAGGCAGGGAGGAGGAGGAGGAGGAGGAGGAGGAGGAGGAGGAGGAGGAGGAAAGAGGAGGAGGGAGGAGGACAGGAGGAGGAGGAGGAGGAGGGAGTGGGAGGTGACTGATGATGCTGTGATGATATGATATTGAGGAGGAGGAGGGAGGGAGGGAGGCGGATGGAGGAGCGAGGCGAGGAGGAGGAGGAGGAGGAGGAGCGGGGAGGAGGAGGAGGAGACGGAGGAGGAGGAGGAGGAGGAGGGATGGAGGAGGAGGAAAAAGGAGGAGAGGAGGAAGGAGGAGGAGGAGGAGGAGGAGGGAGGAGGAGGGCAGAGGGGAGGAAGGCGAGGCGCTCCGCGGCGGAAAATGAGATCGCGAGGAAGTCGCAGGAGGCCTCTCACGGCGAGCCTCTTCATTGGGGGCAGGAGGAGGATGCGGCGGCGGAGGAGGAGGAGGAGGGAGGAGGCGGAGGAGGGAAAGGCATGAGGAGGAGGAGGAGGAGGAGGAGGCAGGAGGAGGAGGAGGAGGACAGAGGAGGAGGAGGAGGAGGAGGAGGAGGAGGAGAAGGAGGAGGAGGAGGAGGAGGAGGAGGAGGAGGCCTCTCGGGAGCCTCTTGGGGCACTCTTGGAGGCCTCTTGGGGGACTCCTTGGGCCTCTTGGGGGCCTTTGGGGGCTTCTTGGGGGCCTCTTTGGCCGTCTTAGGGCCTTCCTGGCCCGTCTGATGCCGTCGGAAGCCTTCTTGGGGGCCTCGCTGGGCCGTCTTGGGGCTTTCTTGGGGCGCTTCAGGGCCGTTTTTGAGACCATCTTGGGCGTCTTAGATGCCTCTTGGGCCGTCTTGGGGCCCTCTTGGGGCCGTCTTGGTGGCCTCTTGGGCCGCCATCGGGGCCATCTTGTTCTCTAGGGCTATCTTGGGGCGACCTTGGAGGCCTCTTGGGCCGTCTGGGGCCGTCGGAAGGCCGAAACAAGGCAAATCCCCAAATCTTTCAAACACCCAAGGGGGATCAACGATTTTGGCCTCTTCGGGCCTTCCTGGAGGACCTCTTGGAGTCTTGGAGGCCTCTTGGAAGCCTCTTAGGCCGTCTTGGGCCATCTTGAGGCTATCTTAGGGCGTCTTGGGTGCATCTTGGTCCGTCTTGGAGGCGTCTTGAGGCCATCTTAGCTGTCTTGGGGGCCATCTTGACCGTCTTGGAGGCATCTTGGAGGCCATCTTGGGTCATCTTGAGCGAAGAAGCCGATGAGGTAGGCAGCTGGCGGGACGGGCCGAAGCCCCAGGGAGAGTTCTTTTGGACAAAGAACCAAAACCAGAACGTACAAAAACCAGCACGCCAGGCACCCCTGGGATGAATCAACAAGGGGGCGGCGGATCGAATCGTCTTCGGCCTATCTCGCCACCGTGCCTGTGTCGTGGCTCGTGGGAGGCCTCTCGGGGCCTCTGGGAGGCAGTTTAGAGGCCTCTTGGGGGCCGTTTCGGGGCCTCTGGGGGCCTCTTGGAGGCCTCTTAGGGGCCTTGGGGGCTTTTTGGTGCCTCTTGGGGGCCTCTTGCGGGCTTTTTGGGGCCTCTTGGGCGCCTCTTGGGGTCTCCTGGGGGCCTCTTGGGAAGGAAGCCTCGGATTTTCGGTTCGTGTTCCCTCTCTTGGGCCCCTGTTGCGGCCGTTTTTGGGCGCCGTTTTGGGGTGGTCTTGGGGGACTACTGGGCAGTCTTGGAGCGTTGGAAACCCAAAGAGGCGAGAACGCCAACCTCCTTCGAAAACGAAAGGAGAATCACTGGTTGGTGCCTCTTGGGGCCTATTGGGGGCCTCTTGGGGGGCCTCTTGGGCCGTTGTGATGCCATCGTGGGCGTCTTGAGCCGATCTTTGGGCGTCTCGGGGCCCCCTTGGACCGTCTTGGGGGCCGCTTGGGGCCCTCCTGGCCCGTCTTTGGGCCCTCGTGGGCCCGAGCAGGTCATGCGAGGAGGAGGAGGAGGAGGCGGAGGAGGAGGAGGAGGAGGAGGAGGAAGAGGAGGAGGAGGAGGAGGAGGAGGAGGTCTCCTGGAGCCCAGGGCGCACGCGGGAAGCCCCAGGGGGCATGCCGGTAGCTCCGCCAAGTCTTACAGTTTTGGGGTGGGGCCCCTTAAAAGACTCCTCAGGGCTGAGGACTGAGGCTCCAGGGGGCAGGCAAGGGACCCGAGGACACGCCCACTCCGTGCCCAGAGGCACGCTGGCGGGCAGTATTCGATCCTATGGACTCAGGGCAGGAAACTACAGGGGACCTGAGAGCACTCCAACTCGTGCCTCGCGGCACGGTGGCCGATGAGACGCCCTGCTTGGATCTCTCTCTCTCTCTCTCCTGATCTTTTTCTTCCTTGCAGATCCTGCTCACCTGCGTTCTAAGGTCGTGGTTCGTGGATCTATCAGGTTCAAGGTTCGGAACGGCGGTTGCCTTCGTTCTGCCGCCCCTCTCTGTGGCGCACGACGCTCGCGAAAAGTCGCCGCTTTTCAGCCTCGCTGCGCGCAGTGTCGCCCCTCAAGGTGGGCAGTGCTGCGGGGTGGCGCCCCGCCGCCACAACGGTGATCGCGGGCTTCTCTCTCTCTCTCTCTTTCGACCCCTCCCTACTCTTTCACACGCGCGCACACACGCACTCTCTCTCTCTCTCTCTCTCTCGCCACCTGGAACAATACAACTGAGTCTCCCGACGTGGACCCCAAACTGTGAGTTTGCGCACCGTGGATGTGCAAGCGGTGTGGTGGAAACACTGTGGCGCAAGCCGTGCGACTTGGAGGCCATGTGTTGCAATGCGTCGCAGCATAGGTGGTGCAAGTTACGCGGTGGAAGCGACGTGCTCGACGCAGTGCGTTGGAAGCTGTGTGGTGGCGCACGAGCCAGCGACGAGGCGGCCACGAGGCGGCAACGGACGGCCACCGGGTGATCCTCCTCCTCCTCCTCCTCGTCCTCCTCCGTAGCCATTTTGGCTCAAGAGTCCATGTCAGGAGGGGGGCCCCGCGCACGCGCTCCCAGCTCTCTTGCATGTCGATGGTGGCGTCTCTGGCCCCTGCTGGTGGGGTGGAGCCTATGCAGTGATATGGTGCACACGCGGAGCGCCCGTGCCCGCGAGGCTCGTCTTCTTCGAGCCGTGCGACTTAAATACGTTCGCCCTCGCCCCTTCCAACGTCGGTATGTCGAGGTCTCTGAGCCCCTTGTTCATAATGCACGTGCCATGGTTCACGGACTTCATCTGCATGCTGAGCTGCAGCGAAGAAATGGTTTTCTGTCTCATTTGCTACGTGACGCGGTTGTTGCGGCTGGCCCGACGCTCTCCCCCGAGGAGCGGAAAAAGATGCTGAAGGATAACTCCATTTCTGGCCGAGCTAAACATAGCGTCCCTCTTCTTGCTGCTGATGCTTCTCTTCCGCCTCCTCGCGGGGCGCTGCATCCTGAAGTCGCTGCTGATGCATCTCAACCTGTGGTGCGAACCCCTCTGGTTCTGCATGATCTTCTCCTTCATCGCCGAACGCTGTTACTCCACGATCATCTTCCTCATCGCAGTGGGCTCTCGGCGGATGTCGCGAATTTGTGCGAGCTGGTGCAGACGATGGTCAAGGCTGTGGGCGTGCTGGCGCAGCTCTTGCCGCACTACTACCCGCCGATGTTGTCCCCGTATTTGCCCTCCGTTGTGGGGTTCTGCGAGGGCGCCGACCTTGCGAAGGTGGCGACTTTTATTGCTCAACTGCCTGGCCAGCATTTGTCTGGTGATGTGAATGGTGCTTTGCATGGTTCGGGTATTCCACAGTGCGCTGCCGATCGAGGTGGCGATGCATGTTTGCCTGTGTGCGCCGACCCCTTCGACTGGAACATCGATAATGAGTTCGAGCTTCGGAGGTTCGAAGACGCGGCTCTCCGAGATTCGGATGCTGATGCTCATGCAAGCGAATTTGATGTTCACGATGACGGACTTCCTACAGTTTCTCTTCCGCCACATGTTGTTGGTGGAGCTGCCGTTCCTCATGGAGTTCGTTCTGGTGGTGCGCGCGATGCGGATGGTGCCGCTGCTCTCGACCTCCGTGGTGATAACTCTTCTCCTGCCGAGGCCGCTGACTCTGACCTGGCCGAGGCGTCTGATGAAACAGTTCTGCGTGAGCACGTTCGCGCAGGTGCAGCCGCTGCTGCTGATGGCGTTCATACTATTCTTCCTGGGGCTATCGATCCACACGGTGATGGAGATGCTCAGTTCGTTCTTCGGCCGGGTCTTCCGGGAGATGCGGCTGCTGTTCTTCGTGTCGGTGCTGGCGGTGCCGCCGACGCTGTTGCCTGCATGGGACAGGCGCCCGCTGCTTCTGGGTGCGGCTCGCTGCCTCTGCATGTTGATGGTTCTTGCTCTGGCGCCCCTGGCGCTGCCTGGGCGTCCTCCGCCGAATTTGTCGACTCTGAGTTGAACGATGGCTATGCCACAGCCGTTCTGCGTGAGCATGTTTGCGCTGAGGCGCCCGCTGCTGCTGGTGGCGTTTCTCTTCACCTTCCTGGTGGTCGTGCGGCTGCTGGTTTCGAGGTATTCGACTTCCACTGCCTGAAGATCTTCGATGTCGGTCCGCGGATTGCGACGAAGGTGGCATGCAGGTACTTTCCTGATTGCCGCTCTGGTGCGGGCTGCAGGTACTCCCATCTCGAATCGATCACCGAGGCTGCGGTTACTGTGGAACACGTTCGCCTTTCTCGGCTATGTCCTGATATTACTTCGGCGACGCCCCTGGCTACATCTCTATGGCGTGAGCGTGCTGCTGGTCGTAGTGCTCTCGAGATTCATGTGCTGTCTCGGGGAGCCGTTGACCCTGCACCTGGTGTTCCTTTCTCTCCTGAGCGTCTTCCCGAGCTAGTTGGTGATAGTAGAGTTGACGGTTACGAGTTGGACTGGGCTTGCCTCGACCAAGACCGTGCAGCTATACACGAACGGGCTGACGACCTCGACCATATTGAGCAACATCCTGATACGCTATTCTGTTGGTGCGACGCTTCTGGGGACGAGGCTGCCGCTTTTCAACAAGCTCGGCGCGATCGAGTGCGCGAGGCTCTGGGTGATTGGCCATGGCTTGCTGCACGTCTTCCTGATACGCTCCTACCTGAGGGGCGTCACCAGGACGAGCTCCTGCCCGACGTCGAAGATCACATGTGGGTGTCTGCCGGCCAGGGCCTCGTCCGTTGCATTCCACTGCGATGGACCGCGGCGTCGACTGGAGTGGCCAGGCTTGCGGTTCGTTCGTCGACTACGGGTTCCTGTGCTACGAATTCTTTTTCCTCGCGTGCCTCGGGGTCGTCCCAGGTATGCTGCTCTATTCGTGAGGCTTCGCCCTCTCTTCATTCCCTCCCTGAGGGAAGCGGCTTCGAGTAGATTTCGGAGGTTTCGGATAGATTCTTCTTTACGCTGGGCTCCTCCTCGTCCTCCTCGTCCTCCTCGTCCTCCTCCTCCTCCTCCTCGTCCTCCTCGTCCTCCTCCTCCTCGTCCTCCTCCTCCTCCTCCTCCTCCTCCTCCTCCTCCAGAGCCGGGAGCCAGGCGCACGAGGCGGCGACGAGGTGGCCACGCGGCGGCCACGGGTCGCCACTCGGCGAACACCTGGCGAACCGCCTGCCAGGAAGTTGCGAAGCCGAGTGCGAGCCTCCGAGCGGCTGGCACCTCCCTCCTCCTCCTCCTCCTCCTCCTCCTCCTCCTCCTCCTCCTCCTCCTCCTCCTCCTCCTCCTCCTCCTCCTCCTCCTCCTCCTCTCTCCTCCTCCCTCCTCCCTCCTCCGTCCTCCCTCCTCCCTCCTCCCTCCTCCTTCACGGCTTGGGGAGAGCGCAAGGCGCCGTCGCTGGCGCTGGGCTGCTCGCTGGGCTGCTGGGCGGCCTCCTGGGGCAGACCACGACGACCTTGACGACCACCCTGCTGCTCGCAGGTGGTCGGCCGGCCTTGTGATCCAGCTGGGGGCTTCTGTTGGAGGAGGGGGGGAGGCCTAGCCCGTAGAGGGGGGCGCGGCCGTGGCTGGAGGCACGCCGCGATCCTCACGACCGGCGTTCACGACGTACTCTTCTGGGGCACGCCTCCGGGCTTCCATTCCGCTATCTGTGCCCACCCCGCAGACACAGTCGGCCACATGCCTATGGATGTTTCCCCCCTGTGCGTTGCAGCTGCCCAACCACGCACACTGGCAACACCAGGCGAGGCGGGGACGAGGTGGGGGAGCATGGGGGAGGAACAGGATAATGAGAAGGAGAAGGAGGTGGAGGAGCAGGAGAAGGGGGGCGGACGCCAGACCTTGCTCTCATAAGCTATACAGTTTGGTGATTTGCTGCCTTCTTTGACAGGGTGGAAAGGAGGGGGAAGGAAGAGGAGGAGGAGTATGAAGAGAATGACGAAAAGAAGGATGATGATGCTGATGATGAGGACGATGCTGCTGATGATGATGATGGTGGTGGCGGTGGTGGGAATGATGATGGTGATGATGATGCTGCTGCTGCTGATGATGATGATGCTGATGATGACTGTGATGATGATGACGATGATGATGATGCTGCTGTTGATGATGCTGTACAGGATGGTGATGATGATGCGGATGGTGGTGATGCTGATGGTGATGATGATGCTTATGCTGATGATGCTGATGCTAATGATGGTGATCATGCTGCTGATGATGCTGATGATGAGGATGGTGCTGATGACGGTGATGATGATGCTGATGCTGCTGATGATGATCACGTCGAGGACTATGAGGACCATGATGATGGTGCTGCTGATGATGACGATGATGATAATGACGGCACTGACGAGGATGATGACGAAAATGTTACGGCTGATGATGATGATGGTGATGATAATCATGATAATGATTATGCTGAGGATGACGATCATGATGATGACGACGATAATGATGATGGTGATAGTTATGATGATGCTGATGATGCAGATGATGCTGATGATGCTGATGATGCTGCTGCTGACAACGACGACGATTATGATGGTGATGATGATGATGATGCTGCTGATGATGATGATGATGATGAGGATGCTGCTGCAGCTGGTGCTGATGATGATGTTGCTGATGATGCTGATGATGATGATGATGATGATGATGATGATGATGATGATGATGATGATGATGATGATGATGATTCTGATGATGATGAGTATTAGGATTTTGAGGATGATGATGATGAGGAGCAGGAGGAGCCATAGGAAGAGGGGAGGGAAGGAGGAGGAGGAGGATGGGGGATGAAGCAGGACAACAATGTCCCAGCACACTAAGCTATCGAAGTTCTCATGGTGTTTGTCCTTTGAGGGCGGGCGGCGTTTTTTTCGAAACGTCAAGCAGCTGCCGGGCGGCCCCCCCGGCGACGTTCGTTTGAAGGTCGACTAGTTGCCGAGCGGACTCCCCGCATGGTCAAGATCAAGTCAAGCTTGCGGTGACCTTGGGCAGGGTTGGGCTGTGCATGCGGGGCTGACGGAGGCGAGGCCGAGCAAACCACCCAAGCCAGAGGCCCACGCAAGGGCCCAGCCCCCCTCCACCAATACCGCCGAGGACGCAAACGAGCAAGGGACCCGAACCCGACCCCCTACCCGCCCAAGGAGAGGGTGCACGGGCTTACTCAGGGCGATCCAGAAAAGCTCGTCGAGAGGTCGTGAGGTCGGCGGAAGGTGGCGAAGGCCAGCGGAAGTAAAACGGGAGCGTCTCCGCCAGCGGAAGGTCGGCGGAACCGAAAATCGGCCCTCCGAGAGATGCAAGCTTTTTGGTCACTGTCTGTCGGCTCCGCGTTAGAGTGACCTTCCGCTGGAGTGGCCTTTGGTGCGGGCTCACAGGGGTCTCCCCGGCAGTGGCCTGTGCGCTTGTCGCGCACCAAAGGTCACTCACACGCGTGGCCGACAGACTCCACCCCGATAATAACCACCCCAACACGCGAGGCCTCTAGTAAACCCGCCCACAGAAGGAATCGAGCAGGGCAGGGCTGTTTCGTAAGCGCCCAGGGCCGTTTCGGAAACGCCCACTGTCCGGTCCGGGTGTTTTTTTTTCCTCGACTAAAACCGCGCACCAAAGGTCACTCACACGCGTGGCCGACAGACTCTGGAACTGGACCCGCCACACCCAGTACAGCGCTCCGTGGCCCCATAGGGAGCTCCACCGAAGGCCCCAGTGGGGGTGCCCGCATGCGCCCGCCATACCCAGTACACCGCTTCGTGGCCCCATAGGGAGCTCCACCGAAGGCCCCAGTGGGGGTGCCCGCATGCGCCCGCCACACCCCCCTCCTCCTCTCCTCCTCCTCCTCCTCCTCTCCTCCTCTCTCCTCCTCCTCCTCATTCCTCCTCCTCTCCTCCTCCTCCTCCTCCTCCTCCTCCTCCTCATTCCTCTCCTCCTCCCTCCTCCTCCTCCTCCTCCTCCTCCATCCTCCTCCTCCTCCTCCTCCTCCTCCTCCTCCTCCTCCTCCTCCTCTTCCTCCTCCTCCTCCTCCTCCTCCCCCTCCTCCTCCTCCCCCTCCTCCACACCGTGGCCAGCCAGCCCCAGCGCGGCCTCCCGCGGCGGACGCCGCGGTGGCAGGCGCCCGCGCGCCCCTGCGCCGCCTCCTCGCGGGGGGGGGGCGTCCGGGCCCGCGGCATCGAGGAGCCGCTGGGCCCTGCGGGAACCGCAGGCCTGCAAGCCCACCGCGCAGGGCCCTCGTCGATCCGACCGGCCCCAGTTCGATAGCTCGGGGAACGAAAAGTGGCATGAACATAAGAGCTCGGAGGTCCGCGCGTATTTCTCGACTCGGCGCTGGACCCCCCTCCCTGGCGCGCGGAGCGCGCCAGGGGCGGCGCCAGAGGCGCCGCCGCGGGGCTCCAGCGCCGATCCGAGAAATCCGCGCGGACCTCCGAGTTTTTATATTTATGTCACTGTTTGTTCCCCTAATATCGACACCGCCCGGCCCGACCCGATCCGGCTCCACTGCTCTGGCGATCCGATGCGGCCCGATGCTCGCGTGGCGCTGGTGTGCCTCCTGGAGCGGCCGATCCCATCCCACTCCGGCTCCGTGCCCGTGCGGCCCGATGCGACGCGCGCTCCGATCCGATCCGATCTGACCTCGAGCGCCTCGCCATCCTCTCGTTGGCGAGGGGCCTTCCCCGCCGGCCACGTCCTCGTGCTGCCACGGCTCAAGCAGTGGCGCAGCGTCCTGGTTCGCCTCTAGCCCTCCCAAACAATGTTCTAAGAACCTTTTGTGGTTCCCACGAAATGTTCTTAGAACATTTCTGGCGGAGTCTGTCTTGTTAGAACACATCGGGCATATGTTCTAAGAACATCTGTTTTTGTTCTTAGAGCATTTTTGGGTTCTAAGAACATGTCGTGGTATGACTATAGGAATGCCGGGACGGTCGGCCCATGCTCCACCAGCTGGACGAAGGTCGGCGCTGCCGTCCGATGGCTGCCGCTCGACCTCCGAGGGCCTCGCCGTCCCCTCGCGGCGGGGGGCCTGCGCGACAGCCGCCGTCCGCGGGATCTGATGTGATCTCGAGCGCCTCGCCATCCTCTCGTCGGCGAGGGGCCCTCCCCGCCGGCCACGAACTCGTGCCGCCGCGGCTGGACGAAGGTCGGCGCCGCCGTCCGATGGCTGCCGCTCGACCTCCGAGGGCCTCGCCGTCCCCTCGCCGGCGGGGGGCCTGCGCGACAGCCGCCGTCCGCGGGAGGCCCGGTGGCCGGCGCCGCGGCGGCTGGCCGCGGCGCGTGGCGCCCACAGCGCGGCGCGGCGGCGGGGGGATTTTCGACGAAAAGTATAAGAAATACCCCAAACATACCCACAAAAGGTCAACTAACATTCAAAAAATTGTCCCCAGATTATGTTTTGGGTTATTTTTTGTCTATTTTTGGGGTATCTTTTATTTTTCGTCGAAGGTCCCCCCGTAGGGGGCCAGGCCCGACTTAAGCCGAGGCCCCTCCGGGCGGAAGGAGCGTCGCCCGGCACGCCGCCGCGGGTGCCGCCCGAGCCCAGGCTCCAGACCTTCGGGGGCGGCAAAGAGGGGGGTGATGACTAGGGGGGGGTGGATATCTTGGCGGGGGCCATGATATTTCCCCAGCTTTCATGGCGCCCCTTCTTACCTCATTGCGTCCCTGGCCCCCCCCCGCTGGGCCGCGCACGTGCCCCTCCGGTCATGATTTGCACCCCCCCCTCTTGGACACCCCCCTCCTGGCCGCTCCCGGAGACCAGTGGAGGACGGTCAACGGAGCGGAGGCATGTTGCCAAATGATTTCCGGATGTCGAGAACATGCTTTAACTGTGCAAAAACAGGTTTAAAGCATGCTTAGAGCATGTCTCTCCGACGTCTCAAGCACCTTCGAAGTCCAAGGATAGGGCTGTTAGGGTGCCCAGTGTCGTGGCACCCACGGCTCCAGACGTCCGTCGAGGGTGAGGAGGCAGCGGCAGAGGCCCGCCGGCTGCCCGAGGTCCGCGTGGGGCGCGGGCGGGCGCGGAGGCGCTTCTCCCGCCGTGGAGGAGGAGGAGGAGGAGGAGGAGGAGGAGGAGGAGGAGGAGGGAGGAGGAGGAGGAGGAGGAGGAGGAGGAGGAGGAGGAGGAGGAGGAGGAGGAGGAGGAGGAGGAGGAGGAGGAGGAGGAGGAGGAGGAGGAGGAGTGAGGAGGATGAGGAGGAGGAGGAGGAGGAGGAGGAGGGAGGAGGAGGAGGAGGAGGAGGAGGAGGCGGAGGAGGAGGAGGAGGAGTTTTAGGAGGAGTTGTAGGAGGAGTGAGGAGGAGGAGGAGGAGGAGGAGGAGGAGGAGGAGGAGGAGGAGGAGGAGGAGGGGAGGAGGAGGAGAGGGGAGGAGGAGGAGGAGGAGGAGGAGGAGAGGAGGAGGAGGAGGAGGAGGAGGAGGAGGAGAGGAGAGGAGGAGGATGAGGAGTTGAGGAGGAGGAGTTTTTAGGAGGAGGAGGAGAGGAGGAGGAGGAGGAGGAGAGGAGGATGGAGGAGGAGGAGAGGGGAGGAGGAGGAGAGGAGGAGGAGGAGGAGGAGGAGGAGGAGGAGGAGGAGGAGGAGGAGGAGGAGTTGGAGGAGGAGGAGGAGGAGGAGTGCCTCGCCGCCACGTGTTGAATTGCGGTCGGGAGCGCCGGCTCGGCGTGTGCCGCTCCGCCGGTTCCCTGGCCCAGCGCGCTCGGGCGTGACGCGCTACACAGTGAGCGGCTCGAGTAAGGAACACTTGCTTCTCAAAAGGGGCTCGGTCGTTCCTTAGGTTTTGCATGCGTTTTTTACAGTTCCTTATGCGTTATCGGTTATCTATCGTTCCTTATGCGTGATTCCTTGGGATAAAAAAAGGGGCTTCGTTCCTTATTTCTCGTTCCTTAGGTCAGGCCGATGACTGTAGCTGCATCCTGGTCCCAGGCGTCACAGTCCCGGGCCTTTCGCAGACCACCCGCCCCGCGGAGCAGAGCGGCCCGCGGCCCGCTTGCACAGGAGGGCAAGTCTTATGTTGTTCCAGCCTCCTTGAGCCTTGATTGCCAGAAGGGATTTCGAGCACCAGGAGAGTACACAACAACTCGAGGGAATTCACGTGTCGGGCCCTGGGAGGCACTCGTCCGACACTGTTTCGACACTCTTTTGACACTCTTCTGGGTGCTCGAAATTATTTCTGGGATGTGGTCCTTAAGTACGATGGGAGCAACATAAAGCAAGTCGCCGGGGCTGCCGCCGCGACACGCCGAGCAGAAGTTCTTGGCCGCAGGGGTGGCTTCGGGAAGCTCCGCCCTGTCGCCAGGGGGGCGGGTGGTCTTCGCCCCCCTGCCCACTCGGCGAGTCCGCGCGGACCTCCGAGGGTTCATGCTCGTGTAGGTGTCTGTCCCTCCCGTCGTGCTCCCAGCCAGGGGGTCACGGGGTCACGGGGCACCAGGGACCTGCGCCTCGCTGCCGCGCCAGCGCATGCGGGGCCCAGCGACCACGGCGAGGCTCCGCGGCCAGCCAGAGAGCAGACCCTGTAATCTCGAGCCAGAGGGAAACGCCCTGCCGGGGCGCCGCCTGGGGCCCGCTGGAGCTCAGGCCGCCAGTGTCGCACTCCGCTGCAGTCAGGGGCCACGTGAGGGGGGGATGGGCTCCAGGGGGGGGGGATGCGCCGGCCCCGAATCGCCCAGTCGTCGCCGGCAGGGGCCCGAGAGAGCCCACCCCGCCCAGGAACGTCCAGAGGCGCTCTCGGGGGCCCCTCGCCGACCCATCGGCGACGCCTGCTCGGCGTTGCCGCCCTGAGCCGGCCCCCCCCTCCCATCGCTGCCCGCTGCCCGCCGTGCTGCCCGCCGTGCACTGCGGCGCGGAGGCCGCGCGGCCCGGGCGGCGCGGCCGGGGGCGTGCGGCCGTGGGCCCTCTGCTTCAAGCGGTGGCGAAGCGTCCTGGCTCGCCGATAGCCCTACCAAGCAATGTTCTGAGAACCTTGGGTGGCTCACGCGCGATGTTCTCAGAACATTTCTGGCGGGGTCGGCCTATTTCGTGGCAGGCCTATAGGAATGCCGGGACGGTCGGTCCCTGGCTCGCCTGCTGCCAGGGTCGTCTGCCTGGCCGTGCTCGAGGTGCGGGGCACGGCTGGCCGCGGTGCGGGCGGCGGAGGCCACCGCCGCGGCCACCGCCCGCCGCCAGCCGCCTTGCGGCCGCCGCGCCGTGCGCCGCGCCCCTGCCAGGGTCGCCCGCCGCGGGGGTCGTGCCGCAGCAGCGCTGAGCGCACCGCCGGCCACCATCACGGACTGGCGCCAGCGGTCGCGTGCGCACCGCAGGCGCGGCCCGCGCCGTTTTGAAGCGAGCGTCCGACGCAGGGCGCTGCCGCCAGCCGCAGGCTGGCACCAGCAAGGCCCGGAATGGTGGTGATGATGATGATGATGATGATGATGATGATGATGATGATGATGATGATGATGATGATGATGATGATGATGATGATGATGATGATGATGCTGATGCTGATGCTGATGCTGATGATGCTGATGATGATGATGATGATGATGATGATGATGATGTTGATGTTGTTTTCGATGATGATGTTGATGATGTTGTTGATGATGTTGATGTTGATGTTGATGATGATGATGATGCTGATGCTGATGCTGATGCTGCTGCTGCTGATGATGATGCCGATGCTGATGATGATGATTGTGATGGTGATGCTGATGATGATGGTGATGGTGATGCTGATGATGATGATGGTGATGATGATGATTGTTGATGATGATGTTGAAGGATGATGGTGATGGTGGTGGTGATGCTGCTGCTGATGATGATGATGATGATTATGATGATGATGATGATGGTGATGATGATGATGATGATGATGATGATGATGATGATGATGATGATGATGATGATGATGATGATGATTCTGATGATAAAGGTTTGTTGTGGTGGTGGTGGTTGTGATGGAGGTGGTGGTGGTGGTGGTGATGGTGGTGGTGATGACGATGTGGAGCAGGAGGAGGAGGAGGAGGAGGAGGAGGAGGAGGAGGAGGAGGAGGAGGAGGAGGAGGATCGAGGATCCAGGATCAAGGGGCGTCCGCCGTCGACGCGGCCGTGGCGGGCCCACCCTGCTGCCGCAGAAGAACCGCACCCTGACCATATCCTCTGGGAGCCTAACGACAGCCTGTCGTCTCACACTCTCCGCCGAAAGCAAACGAAGGTGGAACTGGCAACCTGCGGTGGCGGAGCGACACGGGTGCATGCCGAAATCCCGCGGAACCGTGCTGTCCTTACAGCCCACCAGCACACCAGCACGGCCTAATTTAATCCACGCTCACGCCCAAATCAGCAACGCACTCACCTCGGAACACCTATGACCCACAGTTTGCCAACACGCATGTGAACACCTGTCACCTGATCCAAGTACTGCAGTACTGCAGTGCTTGGATCAAGTGAGACTACAGTACTGTAGCTGACGAGGCCTGGAGTCCAAACATAACTGAAGACAATACCCATCGCCGAGTTGTTGGATTGATGAACTGACCACCTGCAGGCACGAAATTCGAAGAGTCGTGATGGCCGCCACCAACCAGACAAACTTGAATTGACATACGCTCCCTTGGCAGCCGTGGGAGAGTGCAGTAGTTACTGTAGTTGACGAGGCCTCTGAGGCGCCCAGACAGAGCTGATGACTACACCCACGGCCGAATTGTTTGATTGGTAAACTGACCACCAGCAATCCTTGAACAAAATTGAAAGGCCGTGAAGGGCGCGGAGGAGGAGAAGAATTGCCCCCCAGGGGGCCGAGCCTTGTTTCCAGTTAGACGAGTTTTTTGGCGCTGTGTGAGCGCAGTGCGACATTGGCGTCTCCCGAAGCTCTGTCAGTCCTCGACCCAGGTATGGTACTGTGCACAGGTGTTCGTCCCTGAGGGCCGAAAACTCTTTGCACCGCACCGGGTTCGAGTGGGGCCGAAGGGAGACCAATCATTCGGAAGGGAAGAAGAGTATTTCTGACACGCTGCCGTTGCGAGTCCGTCAGCGTGTTACTCCCAGGATTTTCTACGAATGCCTGGTTCCCGAAACAGTGCTTGCTTGCACTTAGAGGTTCTTACCTGTGTCTCTGAGGAATCGGGTTGGTCCGGCGAGGTTTCGTCACGTTGCCGCTCGTTGCCGCTTCGTTTCCGCCTCGTTGCCGCCTCGTACGCCAGGCGGGTCCGGCGAGGTTGCGCCACGTTGCCGCCCGTTGCCGCCTCGTTGCTGCCTCTAGCTTGTACCACGCACGCTGCACCACGTGGCTTACACCACTGACTGTTTCGGGCCCATCTTAGCTCACGTGTGTTTTCAACATCAGCACGCTGGTGGTTTCCCCCTGGTGGCGTGCATTAATGCTGCTTTGGTCCCCCCGGCCATGGTACGGCGCATGGGCGTCCCTCTCTCAAAACGAGCGGAGGAATGAGGAGGAGGAGGAGGAGTGAGGAGGAGGAGGAATGAGGAGGAGGATGAGGAATGCGGAGCAGGAGGAGGAGGAAGAAGAGGAGGAGGAATGAGGAGGAGGAATGAGGAGGAGGAGGAGGAGGAGGAGGAGGAGGAGGAGGAGGAGGAGGAGGAGGAGGAGGAGGAGGAGGAGGAGGAGGAGAAGCGTGCTTTTTCCAGCAGCTGCGCCCAGCACACCCTTCCGCGCGTTCTCGCACCAGAGAGGGGGGGCCGGACGCGCCCCCGCCGAGCGCCCCGCGCCTCCTCGGCTCTCCGAGCGGCTCCCAGGCACTTCGCGCGGGGCCCTCCTGCTTCTGCTGCTGCTCCGCCCCCCCGCTTCTCTCTCCTTCCCCCCTCCCCCCTGCTTCCGCCCCCGTCCCCGTCCCTGTCCCTCTTCGCTCTCCCCCCTGCCTCCTCGTCGCCTCCCTCCCCTGCCCCTCCCTCTCCGCTTCCCTTCCCTCCCTGCGCCGCCTTCCCGCCTCCCGCTCCTTCCCCCGCACCCTCTCGCCCTCCTCCTTCGCCCCTCCCGCCTCTTCCCTCCTCGGCCGAGGTAGTGGCGCCACCGTTGCCGAAAACAGGACCCTCGCCGACGTCCCAGCCGAGGGCGCACCCTCGGCTGGCCAGTGGGTGCCGTTTGCCGCCCTGCTGCTCCTCAGTTGCGCCGGCTTCCTGCTGCTGCTTGTGCACACGCGGTCCAGGGCGGTCTCGAGGTGGGTCAGGATGGAAAAAACACACACACAGACACAATTCATCGTCGATTCCCCAGGCAAGATGGGAAAAGATGGGAAGTGCGGGGGAAGACAAAAACCCAGAACATATGCGAAAAAATGGAGAACCCGGTTATATGTATATATATATATATATTTGTTCGTGTGTCCCGGGAACCCTTCAGCGGTGGGGTGCTCCAGCGAGGGCCCGGGCCTCGCCCTCGAGGGGCCGAGGCGGTGGCCCCTCCTGCTCTGCGGCGGGAGGCCGGCGGGAGCCGGCGGACGGAAACTTGGCATCGCTCGGCCGTGTGCATTTTTTCTCGGCGAGAGCCATCGAGGACCATCGAGCAAACAAAAACGCGCGCGAAGCCGAAAAAGGCACGGGAAAGGGGCGTCCGAGCGACGGCAGGTAAAGAGCTCCCCTCCCCCCACTCCCGAGGGAGGGACATGTTCTGTTGCATTCCAGGCCCGCGGGGTCGCGCCAGGAAGGGCCTGGGCTCAGGCGGTGGCCCCCTGCTCTGCGGCGGGAGGCCGGCGGAGGCCGGCGGGCGTAGAGAGCTCCTCCCCCTTCCTCCTCCTCCTCTCACTCCTTCCTCCTCCCTCCTCTCCTCCCTCCCTCCTTCCTCCTCCTCTCCCCTCCTTCCTCCCTTGCCTCCTCCTCCCTCCCCTCCTCCCTCATCCCTCCCTCCCTCCTCCTCCTCCTCCCTCCTCCCGCCTCCATCCCTCCCTCCTCCCTCCTCCCTCCTCCCTCCTCCCTCCTCCCTCCTCCTCCTCCCTCCTCCCTCCTCCTCCTCCTCCTCCTCCTCATCTCCTCCTCCTCCTCCTCCTCCTCCTCCTCCTCCTCCTCCTCCTCCTCCTCCTCCTCCTCCCTCCTGAGGACATTGTTCGGAAACTGGAGCATACACATTACCAGTGGCGGGCTGTTTTTCAATCCCGGGACTTGTTGAGGGTCGGGGACGACGTCGGGGTGGTGTGATGTCTACCTTTCCCCCTGTTTCCAAGGGAAACGACGAAAGATGTACACACCAGGATCCCGTATACACCAGGATCCGCGTTCCTGTGCGAATTTCGGCGCAGGGTCGGGAACAGTGTCGGTGTATAGAGTTCGGTTCCCTAATTGTCTGTTGCATTCCAAGTATTTTTTGGGTGCGAGCCAGGTCGGTCGCGCTCGAGCGTGAGGGGGAGTCGCCGAGCAGGCGTGCGGAGGCCGGGGTCGCACCAGGGCCGCCGAGGCAGCAGGAGACCTACCTCAGGTGGCCCGAGTGGAGCCGGCGCTTGCCGCAGCACGGGGCGGCGGGTGTCCTCATGTGGCCGGAGTGGAGCCGGCACTTGCCGCAGTACGAGGCGGAGCGCGGGGCAAACGAGGAGGAGGAGCAGGAGGAGGAGGAGGAGGAGGAGGAGGAGGAGGAGGAGGAGGAGGAGGAGGGAGGAGAGGAGGAGGAGGACAACTTCCTCGGGCGGCCCGAGTGGAGCAGGCATTTGCCGCAGTGGGGGGCGGGAGGTGACCAGGTGTGTGGGGTGGGGGGGAGGAGGGGGGAGCAGGCCGTCGGACGCAGGCATGACGCTGGGCGTGCCCCTGTCTGACCTCTGACTGCGGCAGAGGACGACCGAGAAAGATAAGCCGCGCCTCCTCGGCCTCGGGGAAGGGTCTGCGAAGCGGAGGAGACTTCCTGGGGCGGCCCACGGTGCGCGGGCCCGGCGTCTCTCGCGGGCGCGCGCCCGGGCGCGCGCGCCGTGTCGGATCCTGGCCTCGACTCTGCTGGGGGCGATCCTCGCCCGCTGCGCTGCCGACAGCTGGGGGATGGGCGGGGGCGGGGGGAGAAGAGGGACGAAGGATTGCAAAAAAACGAAGGATTGCAACGAAGGAGTGCAACAAAAAAAGGATTGCAAGAAAACCTTCGTTCAAGGATTGCAACGAAGGATTGCAACATTTTTTTTTTTTTTTTTTTTTTTTTTTGCAATCCTTGGTTCAGGAGAGGGGACGCGAGGAGAGACCACACGAGACCGCTGCTCGGCACCAAGGGACTGGCTGGTGGGGGGCACGAGCAGAGCCGAGTCCTCGGGGCTCTGTGGCCCTGGCCCGGGAAGAAGACGTGCCGTCTTGCTCCCCTCCGGGCTCGGGAAAGAAACGGTGCAGTTCTGGGTCAACACGTTGGCTCGGCCTCGTCGGGCTCCCGGCAGAGCAGGGGCAAGGGTGAAACTCTCGTCGCAGTCTTGGGTTACCGGCACGAGGACCTGTTTGACCCCTGCTGTAATGTTAGCCCTGTCGAATTCGAACAGAGCATCTGCTTCCCCTGCTGGCGCCACTATCTGCACAGCGCTGTTCAACATTAATGTCGCTATAGCTCTGCAGAGATGACCGGGATACAGTCGGGCCGCTGAAG